ATGCAGCCTAAACAATCGCTCAGCTCATGGTTTACACCCAAGAAATTTGTATTCAAATTAATGACAGTGAGTTCAACCCGCGGTGATTCAGTCTGTTCAGATGAAGCAGCATACTTGTTTGAGAAGATAGTCTACAGCCAGTAGGCCGAACTGAGTCATTCAATGATCACTGCAGCAATATCGATCTCTGATCGTGTACGGCTCATCACGTTTATGAGATTTTATCACGGTCAGTTTGTCCCCATTCACGCATGTACGCATACGCGAGAACGAATGAGCATGGACGTAAATGTGACTGAACCCAAACCGAGTTCATCAACTATGCCTGTGTGTTACTGAGTGAATCGACACAGCTGGATAATGTGTCTACGTGCGTGCGCATAAATTGATGATTTTCAACACGGTTGATTATTTTTGATTGCCTGGTGAAGGTCCATAAAAAACAGTATTGAAAGTTCATGAAAAGTCGGTGTCTCATATACATTCTTTAGGATGAGGGTTGCAAACATTAGATTTTCGTTAGTAAAAAAATTTCAAGGGAAATGAGACAATATTACCTTGAGATCTTCAAAAGTCAGTACAGTAAAACGACCTTGGGAATCATATTTGTTACTGGACTTCATATTCTCTACTAGCAGCTCAAATACACTAGCTGACACATCATTATCGAAAGGAATCCCTCCATTTCTAGGTAAAATAGAGCAATGACGTCAATTTTGATTTATGAAGTGGATGGAAAAGAAACTATCCAAAGGGACTGCTAGCACATTTTCCAGATCAAAAATTTAGACTATCACCAATTTACACCTTCTTTTGTACGGCATCAAATTGAGGTCAAGAAGAGTAATGCATTCAAATTTTTTCCACACCTGTAGTTTGCGCTTACTCCACTTCATAGAAGAGCTTTCTATGAAGCATAATCGACGAGAATGAAGTCTCGTCTCATTATTTTCCTTTTGATAAAATATGGTCCGCTCAGGTATATGGATACTCCTCAGTAGTACTGTTAGGCGTTTGATTTATTCTATTTCCTTTTGTTTGTCTCGATAAACCGAGATTATATGGGATAGCCTCGCTCAATTTCTCCACTCTTCATTTTTTCATCTCGTTTTACTTCCTTTTATTAAATATACAATGACACAATCTTTAGGAAGAGTGAAGCGGTCAATCAGACGGCTGCCATTCAACACACGATGGGAAAAGTCAGGTGGTGGTGGTGGGATTCGAAAACCCATCACGGGGGTGATAATTTGGTGACGTTAGCACCGGGCCATCACTACCCAAGGTTTCCGTCCAAGACCATAAATTTTGCATCCTCCCTATTGGTTTATTTTACTCTCATGCGCCCAGAACACTCCGATTCGCACAAATTGCATCTTTTCATAACTGTTTAGTGAAGTTCCTCGTGTACAGAGCAAATAAAGCATGAACTAAAAAGCTAGGAGGTAACAGGCGCCTTGTAAACTGATCGAGATCTTTCACCTTTCCGTTTATGTTGTGATCAAACGTTTAAAAGCGGCCTGCGCACTACTTATAACATCATCGAAGTGTACAAGGCTTGTAAGCTTGAGATTGCCCAAGTCGGTAAATTACACAGTGCGGTTATAAGAAATACCAGCAATAAAGAGGAACACACTTTCGATATATTTGTGTTACGTTAGGTTGAGATCTATTAAAGTTGTCATGTAAAGGCGATGGCGTATCATCTAGTGAACCAGTGGTTGATCTCTGCCATCAAGCTCGTCCGTAATGCAGTTAACGCAATAATTCACTACCACCCGGACACCAGCGACATCGGTAAGAGAACCATTTTCCCCTTCCGCCAAATAAAACTACATTTAACAATTCAGTTGTGAATGCTCGGCTATCTACATGGGCAGGACAGAGAGGAAAATTTAAACTCATCCCGGTGTGGCTTAAGAAAGTGATGAACATGTTTGAAACTGCAACGTTGTCGGCCGGGCAAAAAGGACATCGATCTTTGATTAAGCAACACGTACATAAACAGAAATACTGTCACTCCAGCTCACGCATTTTAGGCCATTTACAACACAACAAAAACAAAGTTACGAAAATTTGCCGAGGCTCTGGCCACTGACGACTACAAACCCGATCAGTGCAAACAACGTGAATGGTTGATCACAGCGTTGCCTTGGTGACTGATACTGCACCCATCCTTTCGCTTTTAAGTGCTGGTCATTTTAATTAACAATTTTGTCTTTATCTTACGTTTGATCCTTCACAGACCATAGAGATCGGTTAAATCACAAGATCCTCTGATTTACATTTGTTTACTACTCTGTTCATTCGTTTTTACAAACGAAATGAGTGTTGGCTAGATGGGAACAAGGCTGAGCACATAAGAACTCGATATACGAGGATTTTATCGAAATCGGAAACTGTAGAATTTCTGTTTACGTGAATGCGAGAGGATGATAAACTATATGCAGAACAGGTCAGTGAGCGACATTCGGATAGATCAAGGATAACAACAGTTATAAGATAGATCATTAGCGGGCACAAAAGACACGTAACTGACAAACTACACCAGAAAGTTGTGAAGTCTTTCTGAAGTGGAACAGCAAAATTCACCGGGAGAGAAAAAAACGTAGGGAAAATGCACTGATAGACAAATAGAGAAATGCTTTTGTTCCACTGAAATGTTTTAACAGGAAGGATCAACAGCAGTTTTCGATGAAAGTATCGATAAATTTATAGGTTTATTGCATCTAATAAAATATGCTCAAAATTGACAAGGAGCCAGTTGGACCAAACTTCATAAAAGGTTCCATTTCGCCTGTTCCCCGAGCATGGCACTTTGTTTGCAAACGTTTCATCACCAGCCGAGGTGACATCTTAGGTGCTTGCGAAGTGGCAGTGTTCTGCTTGCACACGTTCGTTTATGTGTTCTTCTCCACCGACTATTCTATCCCTTATTCTCACTAAGTTCGACTCGGTTCACCGTTGAACTGGTGCGAGGGGTGAGGGTGGGAGGGGATGAGGTTGTCCTTTCGTCCTGATTGCGGTTTCCGTCCGTTCTCGGGTCACGAAGTGACCTTTCTTGTTCCGCCATCGGGTCCTTGAGTTGCATTGGCGTGTACATGTGATCCAGTTCGATGTGCCTGTTTATTGAGTTGATTGAAGAGTGCCAAGCCTCGATAAATTCTCCGGCGTGTTTTGACCGGGCTTGGTCGATAATTCTCACTGATTCGAAGTCAAATTGATGTCCTTCTTGATCTTCTTGGAAGGAAATCAACGGTAGTGGGTCATGTCTCCTGACTGCCGATTGGCATCCACGGATCCTTGTTAACAGTTTTCTCCTAGTTTGTTTGTTTTGGACAGTTATTGCAGTTTCTTTTGTAGATGACACTGCTCTTGTACTTCTCCATTGTTCTCTCCTTGAGTTTTGACAGAAGTCCCCTTAGACCGGCGATCGGTTTGTGGGCGACTTGGATTCCGTATGATCTGAGCAGTCTTGCTGTCATTTCCGAAACGTCCTTCATGTGTACGGCAGGGTCGCTGTTGTTCTCGATTCTCCGTCTGTTATTTCATTCGTTCTTTTGATGAAGTTGCGGGGGTAGCCATTACGAGCAAACACTTTAAGGAGGTATCTTTCTTCTTTTTTCTTGAGTATTTCGGTGCTACATCGCGTTTGGATTATTCATAACAGGGTTCTAACACAGCATATTTTGTAGTTGTGTGGATGATTAATTTTGAAGAACACAGTGTAGGCGAACATATGCTTTCGGTGAATTCCTTTTCAAGCCTTTACAATCACATTTATATGAAATAA